GAGAATGACTTGGGTAATCATAATGAAGCATAAAAGTGAAGCATTCAAGAGGTTCAAACAGTGGAAGGGCTTGATAGAGAATCAGACAGGGAAGAAGATCAAGCGATTGAGAACCGATAATGGTCTGGAATTCTGTTCGTCTGAGTTCAATGAGTTCTGTAAGAACGAAGGGATTGTTCGACACCGCACCATTAGAGATACACCACAGCAGAATGGTGTGGCAGAACGCATGAATCAGACACTACTGGAAAGAGCAAGATGCATGCTCTTTCATGCTGGTTTGACTAGGAAGTTTTGGGCAGAAGCAGTAAACACGGCGTGTTATCTGATTAACCGTGGACCTCACACTGGTATTGACTGCAAAACACCTTTCGAGGTATGGTCCCAATCACCTGCAGATTACTCTACATTGAGAACTTTTGGTTGTACAGTTTATTATCACGTGAGTGAGGGTAAACTAGAACCAAGAGCAAAGAAGGGCGTATTTGTTGGTTATGGGGATGGAGTCAAGGGGTATAAAATTTGGTCGCCATCAGAAAATAGAGTTATCCTCAGTCGGAATGTGGTATTTGATGAATATTCTATGCTTAATTTTGTTGAGAAGTCCATTGGTGCAGAAAATTCTGGTGTTGATAAACAGGTGGAGCTGCAAGTCACTCCAAATGAGAGTGAATTACAACCCCAAGGTGGAGAAGATCAACGCACTACTGCTGAAACCACCATTTCTGATGTTCATCCGGAAGCTCGTCAGAGAAGCATCGCCATTGATAGAGCTAGGAGGACAGGTGTGAAGCCTCCGGTGAGGTACGGGTTTGAGGACATGGTGACATATGCACTACAGGTCGCCAATGAGGTGGAAGATGAGCCATCGATAGACGAACCATCTACATACAAAGAAGCAGTTTCGGGCAGTGAGTGCGCTAAATGGCTCGCTACAATGGGAGAAGAGATGGAGTCATTGTCCAAGAATCAGACTTGGGAGCTGGTCACACGGCCTAAGGAGAGGAAGATTGTTACTTGCAAATGGATTTTCAAGAAGAAGGAAGGAACCATCCCTGGTGAGGGTGTCAGATACAAAGCACGGCTAGTGGCAAGAGGGTTCACACAGAAGGAGGGGGTTGACTATAATGAGATTTTCTCACTAGTAGTCAGACATACTTCCATCAGGGTGTTACTTGCGATGGTTGCACATCAGGATCTGGAACTTGAGCAACTAGATGTGAAGACAACTTTTCTACATGGATTGCTTGAGGATGATATCTACATGACTCAGCCAGAGGGATTCGTGGTTCCAGACAAGGAGAATTATGTTTGCAAGCTGAAGAAGTCTTTATATGGACTAAAGCAGTCTCCAAGGTAGTGGTATACGAGGTTTGACACTTACATGATTCAGCTAGGATTCAGCAGGAGTCCATATGATTGTTGTGTGTATCACAACAAAGCTGATGATGGCTCCATGATCTATCTTGTTCTGTATGTGGATGATATGCTCATACCTGCGAAGTCGAAGTTAGAGATTCAGAAGTTGAAGGGCCATCTAAATGCTGAGTTTGATATGAAGGATCTGGGTGCTGCAAAGAAAATTCTAGGCATGGAGATATACAGGGGTAGAAATCAGAAGAAACTTTTCTTATCACAGAAAAGCTATATTGAGAAGATTCTGTCAAGGTTTGGCATGTCTACAGCTAAGCCTATTGATACTCCAAGTGCCACAAACATCCATCTATCATCTGATTATGCACCAAAGTCTAAAGCAGAGTTGGAGTATATGTCTCGAATTCCGTACTCCAATGCAGTAGGAAGCCTGATGTATGCTATGGTCTGCACTAGACCAGACATAGCACATGCTGTTAGTGTTGTTAGCAGGTTCATGGGACAATCTGGAAAGGAGCACTGGCAGGCTGTGAAGAGGATTTTCCGCTACCTGAGAGGTATGTCTGATGTTGGTCTCATATATGGAGGTGGTACTCACTTTCTATGACCGGCTATTCTGATTCTGATTATGCTGGAGATGTTGACAGTAGAAGATCTATGACTGGTTACGTTTTCACTCTGGGTGGTTCTGTTGTTAGTTGGAAAGCAACTTTGCAGACTGCAGTTACTCTCTCTACTACTGAAGCAGAATATTTGGCGTTGACAGAAGCTGCTAAAGAGGGAATCTGGTTGAAAGGGCTAGTTGGTGATCTTGGTCTGCATCAAGAGCAAGCTATTGTGTTCTGTGATAATCTGAGCGCTATCTGTTTAGCCAAGGATCAGGTCCATCATGAGAGGACCAAACATATTGATGTGAGGTATCATTTTCTGAGGAATGAGAAGAAAATCAAGGTGGAGAAAGTGGGCACTGCTGATAACCCTGCTGA